GGATTAATTTATTTTGCTTATTTTATTTTTATGTGTTTATTTTATTTTAATTTAATTTATTTTGCCTGTTTTTAGTTTTTTAAGTAACGTAGTAAAGATTTCTTTTCGTGTCTGCATCTTGAGATGAGTTCTGATCGTTTATTTAGTAGTTTGTTTTGGTCTGTGAAGGTAATTAGAGTTATTTTATTCTCTAGACAGAGTTTATTGTTTTCCGATTTATTGTTGTAGGGTGATGCTGTTTTCCTTATTTTCCATGATATTTTAGTGTGGTTTGTTTTTAATTTCCTAGATATGTTTAGAAAGATTTGTGCTGTTCATGTAATTACTATTTGCAAATGATATTTTGTGTGCGTAGTTTCTTGGCTTCCAGGGTTCGCCAGTTATCCCTATGTATATATTTTCTTCATCATCTACTGATTACAGTGGCTTAGTATATTATATTATTCCGCAAGTAATTGCGTTTAAGGGATATTTGTTCTGCAGTTACACGTGTGTTTGATTTGTACGGTTGGTTTGTTGGTTGTTTTCCTGTCGTGCTTTTTATTTGTCTCGGTGCAACTGTAGCTGATTTTTTATTGTGTTTTTGTTGAATATCTTGTGAAGAGTGCTTGATGCAAGGAAATGTTTGTGCATGAGTTTAATGAATATTTTTCCTTCGTTTGTTTTTATGTTTATGTTGTACGGTGTTTTGAACCATATGATGTTTCTTTTCCAGTTGGCTTTATTGTGGTGTGTGCTGTGTATGTGAGTGTTGCCATTTGAGCATGAGACAGACAGTCACCACTGTGTGTTGACTTCAATGTCCACTTGCATATTTACATACGCTCTATACCTGGTATTGAGCACTTTAATCCATAAATATAGCAAAATATAAAAACTTAAAACTATATTTTTATCATATATATATATATATATATATATATATATATATATATATATATATATATAGTTAGTAACGGAAGGAATTCACGCACATGCCAACTGAATGAGGCACATTTCCAAAATCAGAAATTTAAAAAGAGTTATGGACTTTGTTGAACAATCCTATAGAAGCGAGATGGTATTTTCCCAAAACTAGACAGAATTCTCTTTGGCTTGTGGATGCAATGATTCGTCATACAGTACGACGGATGTGACTAATTATTTTGAGAACACACAGGATAGCACCTTGTGTCTCCTGATGTATCAGCAAATGACATCCCTGTGATTACACACGAGACGTCACGACAAACGACATCGTTACATTTGTATATTTTAGGAAATATGTTAACAGTTAACGAAACCCACGGCTTATAAAATCCCGACAATAGACAAATTTATTTCCTTATATAACCGGAAATAGATGAATCCATTTCTCTATATATATTTATATGGTGGACTCTCCTATCGTGTACGATAAATGAGGGTCAGCAGTGGATGCTGGCTTTCATTTTACACTTATGCATGCTAGAATGGAGGGGGCTATCGTGGAGAAAATCAAGTAAAGGAAAGACATATTTCATTTGTGCTTCCTTAAGTGTGATACTATCCCAGTCTTGCTACGAGCGACAAAGCCATGATGAAAGATGAAATTTGTTAAAGCAGGATTTTGATAGCGTCTCTGCTTCAGAGCTTGACGAAGCTGATCCACGGTGCTTTAGTCTACTCGTTTCAAAACCCTTTAACTTGAAAGTCTTACGCCACTCATATATATTTATATACATATATATTTATATACATATATATTTATATACATATGTCGGTTTTAGGAAAAAGATTAACAATTAATGAAACCCACGGCTTATAAAATGCCGACATTGAACAAATATATTTCCTTATATAACCAGAAATAGATGAATCCATTTTTCTATAAAATCTGAAGATATATTCGTAACATTAATGTTTTTCATTTATCATTTTTTCTGTTTTCAGCCGGCTTCTAGTTCCTTCCCAAAGGCAATATATTCGGCTAAGTAGGATTGAAGTCTTTTAAAAATATTCGAATGGAAGGTTACATCATTTCAGCCGATTAATAACAGAAGGAGATTTATTTCGAATTTGGGCTTCCATACAGCTTATTTCGTCAACTCCAGATTTTCGTCTATGTTACATGCAGCTTAGGCAAGAGGAATGCGAACGCACCTAACTGAGAAGGGATTCGCTTGCTTTTTTTTATGTCGACCAGACAGAATATGGGTCCACGAGGTACTTAGAACATTAACTAGTAATGTTACCCTTTCTGGAACTGACCTCTTTTCGATGTCTGATTGGCCCCCTTAATATTTCGTCTATGCATCCACAAACCAAACAGAATTCGGTCTAGTTTCGGGAAAATACCATCTCGCTTCTATAGGAATGTTCATCAAAGTCCATAACTCTTTTTAAATTTCTGATTTTGGAAATGTGCCTCATTCAGTTGGCATGTGCGTGAATTCCTTCCGTTACTAACACCCCCATATATATATATATATATATATATATATATATAGTTTTAAGTTTTTATATTTTGCTATATTTATGGATTAAAGTGCTCAATACCAGACATAGAGCGTATGTAAATATACAAGGCCGAAAGTATGGGGCACCCAGTGAGGGTCGAACTCACTATTCAGTCGTAAGTAATTTAGCGAGACAAGCCTGATAACCATTACACCACGCCGAGGTGCCCAAGAATACGGAATTATATGCAGAATATCAATCCTGCTAACCTACAAGGAATTCTAAACTTAACCCTTTATTTAATCTACGGGGTTAAACTGTTCTTGTACAACTGCCCATGTCTAGGATGCCTTGTCTCGTCTTTATTTTTAGTATTGATCAGGTATTGCTCACGTATTGACCGCACTTTTTCTACTGAGTCCAAATACACACTGCCCTGCCTAGGGACTGAGCTTCCAGTTACTATGTTCCCCAAATTCACGAATCTAATCCACGCTTTTATCCACTAGGCTATTGTTCCATAGTTGAAATAAAGATTTTAGTTTGGAAATCCCAGTAGGTTACCCGGATCGACATACACCTGATGAAGGCCGAAGGACATAACAACTTGTGATAACAATAACAAAGATGAAGACAATAGTTACATGTAAATAGTGTAAATAATGATAAGTCCTCATACGAGAAATTCAGAAAGAGAGATTTTTTAATGTGCCGTGTCCTTTCAGGACGTTGACAATAATGGCTTTCCACAACTTTCTATCCTTTTTATCTCTTAGCAGTGTTTTTCTTTTTTTATCACCCCTTCAACTCATTATTTTGATCATTGGGTAGGTAACTCGCTGTTTCTTTCTGCCCTTTTTTTACCTTCGATAGGTCCTCTGAGTGTGATTTTTTCCAAGCATCCACATCACAAAATTTAAAATTTTATTTCTGATTCTAGGTATAAGTGATTTAAAACAATTGAAACAAGTTTTTAATTTTGCCGTTTCCAAAACAAAACTACTCTCTATCAAACGTTCCATCATTATGGCTGATGCTAACCACCAGGAGAGTGACACATTGCGCCTACTCGGATTAACGTTTTCCAAAAAGATTAACTGGAAAGATTATATTGAATTCATTGCTAGGTCTGCTGCTAGGAAAGTTGGTTCACTGTATCGTGTTAGACAATTTTTCTCGCTAGAATCTATCCTACGTATTTATAAGTCTAACATTCATTGTTTGATATATTGCTGCCACCTATGTCCTAGTGCCTCTGCTATATATTTAGAGATTCTTGATAAAATCCAAAAAAATAATGTGATACTGGACCAAATCTAGCATCTCGGTTTCAGTCCTAGAATCCTGAGTAAGACGATAAACTACGTCCAGCAGCAAGTCCTCTGATCAGGAGGTTTTGAAGAGCGTGGAACCAGTTCTTAATTGTTAGCAATCCCAGGTCCACCCTGACCCGGGGTGCTAGCACCTGTTAGGGTCCCAGCTATGGGCAAATAGTTAACCCTCAAACTAGGGTCAAAACACTATGAAAGTGTGAAAATGGGTGTTGATACCAGCAATATATTTTCATAAAATTATTACCAGCAATGAATTTTTGAAGAAAAAATTTTTTAAGCATTCAACCCCAAGCAAGGTGGGAAGCCACTAGCACGCAAGGGGTTACAGAGTTGGAGCGGGAATAAAGAGGATTGATAAAGGAAAGGATAAAGAGAAGGTTAGGGGATAGATCAGGGCATCTGGAGACGTCGATTGACGTTACATTTGAATAGTTGGAGATTATAGCTATCAGGAAAACAAGAAATGGGGAGGGAGTTTCACAGGCGAGAAGTGCGAGACATGAAGCTATAGGAGTAGGATAACTTTTTAAGAAAAAATATTACCAGCAATACATTTTTGAAGGAAAAATATTACCAGCAAAACATTTTTGAAGGAAAAAAAATATTACTAGCAACAAAAATTTTGTCGGCATTAAATAACCCATTGTGGTTGATATGCCGTAAAACAAACCAAACCAAACCAAACTTAACGACTTAACATAGCTTCCCTGTGCCTTTTCTATAACTATTTTCATAATAATTGTTCTGATGAACTTTCCTCTATGGTACCTAGAATTTAAAAATTTAAGCACAGGACCAGCAACCTTTTACATTTGAAATGAATAGATGTAACCGTAAGTTCTATGCTAAGAGTTTCTTCTCTTACACTTCTTACTTGTGGAACTCTCTTCTGGTTTCTTGCTTCCAAGGCACCTTTGATCTTCAAAAATTTAAAGGCAATATTAATTGTTATCTTTTGTTTTCTTAGTTCTTTTGTTTTCGTCCCGTAATAATATTTTTCTTTTTCTCATATTCTTTCACACTAAGTAGGCCCTTGCATTTTAGTGAAATTATTACCTTGCTTGGGGTGAAATGATAAAAATAAATACCGGCTGTCATCATCCTACCTCCAGTTTAAAGCTTAAATATTCCTGTAATGGACACATTACCTGTTGCAGATGTTGGCTTATGATGAAAGAACGACGAAAGAATCTCTATCATTAAAAGAGATGACATAAAAGTAGATGGAGAAATGAAAAGCGGTTTTAATCAAGAAAAAAAAAAGAACATGGTAAGTTTAAGAATAAGTAAGGAGAGAAAGAAAAAGAAGAAATTAACGACCAAAAAGAAAGCTGAAGGAAAAGAATGAAATCGAGGCTGACAGAAGATCTGAATAAAAGGAAGAAATAAGAATGAAAAAAAAAATGTTTATTGCTTCCACATTTTTTAAATCACTTGCATAGCGAGGCCGTACGATTCGATTGCGACGTAGTATAGCATCGAGGTAGCTATTGATTTTAAACTCGGTAATGCTTGTCTATGATTAGCTTATCAAATCCAGCTGACAGATTTTTTCCACATACGTTCCAATGATGCCCTATTCTTAACAGCTTTAAGAAGAAATAGATGTGGCCATCTGGAATTGTTCGAAGCGGAATTCACTACACGCATGCGCGTAAACAGATGCACAGTTTGCCAACTTAGCCTAACGAGTATGCCGAATGGTATCACGTGATGCGGCAAACCATTGGTCAAGCGAGTAAACAGATCTCTGTGGATTGGGCTAGAATAGGCGGATGACAATAAAACTGAACAAAGGCTAAAAGAGAAAAAGATTGAAAACATGAGACAGGGCAAAATTTGACATCTCTTCATCCAAACGAAACGTCCCAAGTGAGCATAGATAACGCTTTTATAGTGCCCTTTTTATTCATAGACCCCTTAGGGGATTTGGTAATTAGGCACTTAAAATGACTCTCTGACAAAATGATACCACACAAAATAATAATAATAATAATAATAATAATAATAATAATAATAATAATAATAATTGATTAGCCCCAAGATGGTCTGCGAAAAATAGATGAAAAAAGAGAAAAATGACGTAGGCAGATTTTATTAGAATCGAAGGTAGAAAAGGCTCAGTTTGTGTTGAAGAAATGGCACAGTGACTGAAACAGTTCGTAGGTATCGTTATATTGAAATATTAGGTTGGTGCAAAAATAATTTCGTTTTCTAACATATGTTACTATGTGAGAAAACGAAATTATTTTTGCACCAACCAAATAGTACCGCAGAATTATTGCTTGAGCTAAAATTAAAATTAAATAATCAATGGAAACTCTTTCACTCTAAACAAATAGAGATTGAATTTACTCTGAAAAAGAAAAGCAGATTCGTGGATAAGAAAATTCATTCAGTTTTCGAAAGGAACAGAGAAGATCAAAGGGACGAGAGGAGAACACACAGAATTTAGCTGACACCATCCGTACTGGGAAACAAGTGAATCGCCATTTTTGAATTTTATTTTTATCATTTCCGAATCCTTTCAATTGAAATCAGTTATGGTGCTAATATTACATATAGTAATACATCGGATAATCAATCTAATAAGGTTATTTTCCAAGCGTAGCTTAGATGTGGCACAAGGCCGAAAGTATGGGGCACCCAGTGAGGATCGAACTCACTACCCAGTCGTAATTGATCTAGCGAGACAAGCTTTCTAACCATTACACCACCGTGAGGTGCCCCAATCAATCTAATAAGTGCTGAAATTTGGTGTCCTACTCCTCCACCACTTCATTCTTCTACTTTTATGTGCCGTATCTCTTCAGGATGTAGGAGATCATGGCCCTCCGCATCTTCCTGTCCCTTGTAGTCTTTTCATTTTGTTATTTCTCCCGAACCCTGTTCTTCCATCCATTTACTCAAGCTCATCAAGTACGTTACCCGCTGCTTTCCCCTGTCCCTCATTCTTTCAATTTGCCCTGTGAGTATCAGATTTTCCAAGCCCTCCTTCCTCATTACGTACCCCAGAAATTTCAACTACCTCTTCCTGATGTTAAGTATAAGTTTCCTGTTTGTTTCCATTTTCTCTAAAATCTTTTTGTCGCTAACATGGTTATCCCATGGTATCCTCAGCATCTTACTGTTGCACCACATTTCTTTTGCTTCAAGTTTATTCTTCATCTTTGAGAAGATTGCCCATCATTCGCTGCCATACAAGAGGACAGATATCACGTAACACTTCAATACTCTTTTCTTTGTTTCTAACGAAAATTTCCTGACTCTTAATACTCCGTTTAGGTTTTGGAATGCATCTTTGGCCATCTCAATACGTCGCACATTCTGTCCTCTGTTAGAGCACTTCCCAGATATTTAAATTTTTTTACTTGCTTCACTTTAGCATCCCCGACTTGTAATTTGCATTTTGGGCTCGGCCTTTTGCTGACAACCATGTATTCTGTCTTGTACTTTATACATAGTATTTTCTTATCGCTTTATTTGTTTACCTTCCGTAGGAGGTTTTGTGGTTTCCTTTCCGTGTCCTATCAACACTGTGCTAAATGTAACCGTCTGTTCTATTCAAACAGCTTCTCTCGCATATGCCGTCTGTGGAACTCCTTTCCTCTTGTTTGCTTCCCTGATAGCTGTATTCTTCAATATTCAAGTGTAATGTCAATCGACATCTTCTGATGCCTTGATTTTGATCCTCGCCCTTCTCTATATCCTTTCCGCAAAGTACTCTTGTTCTCAATCCTCTGTAACCCCAAGTGTGCTAGTGGCACTCCTGCCTTTCTAGGGGTGAATTGCTAAAAAAAAAAAAAAAATTAAAAAAATCTGCTTATATCATATTGTTAAGATTGTCACCGTCAGCAATGAATTTGCTTCTAATTTTCTCAGAATTGTCTCGCTGTATAGATTGAACAAGTCCGGTGAGAAGGCTCATCCTTGTCTTGCACCCCTTTCTATTTTTGTTTATCTGCTGAATTCATGCAGGCGGTTTGCCGCCAGTATAGATTCTGGATTATTCTAATATCTTTTCCGAATATGTCAATATTGCTGAGCAGCTCGAACAGATTTACGAATACATAAATGCGACATTTGTTGAAAACGTCGCGTTTCTACGGAGCCGTTCTTGTCTTCATATTTTGGCATGTAACGTAACATTGAATTCTATGACAGTCTTATAATTGGACGCCTTTCTCGCGGACATCTTCTCACTGACGCCGGATCTATGAAAAGAAATTTCGATGTGGTCACATGCTCACAAACAAAAAGCGGTTCAGACAATTAAACACTTTTGACGTCATTTGAAGATCAATTTGAAAACATTGCGACATATGGTGATCAATTTTTTTGTCATTTTTTTTTGTTTTGTTTAGTTTGGTTAAGGTTAGAGAGATAAAGGGAGTGAGATAAGCATAGCGTGAAATAAAGGGGAGAGAAAGCGTAGAAGTGGAAGGGAAGAGAGTGAGAAAGAGTGGAAGAGAGAGTGGATGAAAGAGAGAGAGAATGAGAGAGAGAGGGAGAGAGAGAGAGTGGATGAAAGAGAGAGAGAGAGATAGAGAGGGAGAGAGAGAGTGGATGAAAGAGAGAGAGAGAGAGAGAGAGAGAGAGAGACTCATTTTTCTGTGTTTGCAACAGAGTCCCTCATATTATGCTTGTCTTACGCTCAATCTCCATCAGTTCATATCAATGTTTCTCCGTCTACACGTGTAAAGTGGCGATAATTAAAGAGATGCAACCAAAATAATATAATCTAAAATGTAGAGGCATGGTAGATTAATGGGTAGCGACCGGGTATTGCGGAATCGGAAAGCAGAGTTCGAATTCCAGTCGAGTTCATTACATTCACTTGCGCGCTAATACCAGTCGAATAATTTTGAATGCATCTCTTTCCCCGTCCAGCTATGGGTTGAATAGCAGGATAGACAATAAACTGAATAACTGAATAAAAAAACAAACAAACAAAAAAAAAACAAAAAACATGAGGGCCTAGTGTACGGCGGGCGACCCACACTATATTTCACGGTCTTCGACTGTAGGTAAGGAACTTGGAGGGGGGCAATCTATCTGAAATCCCATGAAAGGATCATGTAAAGGAAGAATCAAAATCTGTTTCTTATGCTCTCAGGTCTCCTCGGAGATTGAAACAGCCGAAGGATAATATATATATATATATATATATATATATATATATATATATATAAAAAAGTGAACATTGAAGTCGACACACAGAGGCGACAGGCTGTTTCATACTAGACGCACTCATCAGGCCGCGAGTGTTGGATTTTTTCTCGACTATTTATATATATGGGTCAGTGGTGCATTGTGGGTACTCTATTCTGGCGGTTATTTTGGCGGGAGTTGATTATTTATTTGGGTTAATTCATTTTACTTGTTTTTTATTTTATATATTTATTTATTCTTTTCGGTTTTCGATGTTTTATTAACGTAGTTTTTGTTTTGTTAACGTTTGTTTTTAATTTCGCAGATATACTTAGAAAGAACCCTGTTAAGAGCCACAAGGGATAGGAGGAAGTGGAGGGCCATGATCGTCTACGTTCTGAAAGGACACGACACATAAAAAGAAAGAAAAAACAAGTTAGATACATTTGAAAAGATCTGAAACCAGGGGCAGGGGAAGAAATTTCACAAATGTCAATACATACCCAATCATATTATAATATACAAACGCGTAGACATATATAGATATATAAACACGCAAAAACACGAACGAAACAGGAAATAGATGTCCACGACAAAAAAAAAAAAAGGAATATAATATCAGACATATACACATACAATGAAAAGCATATACAAGCAATTATGCACACATACATTAATAAAGTCATAGATATATATATATGTCAAACCCACAAAGATTCAAGTCTAAATGTATTAAAAAACGAATGTAAGCCAACTATTAAAATATTACTTAGATGGGCAAAGATATATAGAAAAAAGGAGGGTTTGATAGATAGAAGGTAAGAGGGTTAAAATTGGAAAACAAATATTCGGGTATGGACAAAGCGAAGAAAAAAGACAATTAAACATATATATATACGAATAGACATACACAATAAATACACACACACACACACACACACACACACACACACACACACACACACAGAGAAAACAAAACACAAAAACAACGGCCAAATTCAAAGGTCAAGGCAAAATGCAACACGGAAAATAAAAAACAGCATATATATAGAAAAGAGAAAAACAATAACGCACACACACACACACACACACACACACATATATATATATATATATATATATATATATATATATATATATATCACATATATACTCATATACGCATGAGTACACATGAATATATGCACGGGCACAAACATATAAAAATATCTATAAATACACAAATAAGTGGATACACATATACTTATACATACATATATATATATATATATATATATATATTTAGTTTGGGTAGATGTGAGTTTGTGACCCTTTTCACGCTTTAGCGATCGTCAGACAATCAGACGATCGCTAAAGCGTGAAACCCAGGGTCACAAGCTCACATCTATCCAACCAAATATGTTAGCTCTATCTCTGATATTGAGCGCCTTCTAATAAGTACCAAGTATATATAATATATAAATAATTATACATATATATATTTTATTTATATTTATATACACTTTTCACACACACACACACACACACACACACACACACACACACACACACACACACACACACACATATATATATATATATATATATATATATATACATACACATATATACAGATATATAGAAATAAATACAAACATATCAACCTACAAAGCTACATATAAAAATACACAAGAATAAACCAGCATACCGTCACACATGCGCAGATACAAATATCTAAGTCCATCCACCCATATGAAAAGAAGTAGAAACATAGAAACTGTCTAAAAAAAGACTAACAATTTTATCAAAAAGACTATAAAAAATACAGAGTCCATTCAAGATGAGTGTGTAACGAAACGCAACTGTTAATTATTAAGTCCACAAGCAATTCTAAAATCGTTATCAAATAAAAGTAGATTATAGTTAGCATAGATAATCCATTTAAAAACAGTAAAATATACACATACACACATGTATCCAGACATATTCATATACATACATACATATATATATATATATATATATATATATATATATATATATATATATATATATATATATATATATATATATATATATATATATATACATGCCTGTGCATAAATATATAAACAAGCACATACATTACATTCATAAATACACACACGTATATATATACATAAACATATAAACACATGTAGAAAATGCAAATATATTAATATATACATACACTGACACACACAGATACAGACATATATATATACATATACATAAATACATATACACATATACACAAATCTTTACATAAAAATACTCATCAATGCAAGCACACAAACAACAATATATACGTATACGTATATATGTACATGAATTGAAAGAAATAGGAGGATTAGCAGATAATATAAGTAATAACATAGTAAACTTACAATAACATTGCATTATCGTCGAAAATATTACTACCCCAATAGCAAGTTAAATTTTGAGCTATGTTTACAGTTAACAGTGAGTTCATTCATTGATTTAAGAAATGGATCTTGTCTTTAAATCTAATGATTTCCAATTTTCCATTAAGACAAGGGGTATACAGAGAATTACATGTTCGAGCTCTCTTAATTTCCATTTAACAGTAAGTGTCTTGTTTGTCTCCTTTAAACTGCAAAAATACTTGGACAACGAAGTTTTGTATTTATGATTACTATTGTTGAAAAATTGAAAATGTCCACGCCAGCACTCTTGGTATGTATTCATAGTACTTCCACTGTTTTAATATTGGGGTTTTCAAGTGTAGAAATATTACTAAGGTAAACTAGGGAACTAGTTAAACAATTATTCTGTAATGGCCAATTATTGGAATTTCTACAATAGCACAATTTATTATTAATGTCATTATACTTAGTTTTACTTAGTTTTTAGCCTAACATTAACATTAAGTCATTAATAATTATAACCAAGTTTTGTTGTTAAGTTTTTTGAATTACCATATTCTTGTATTTCGATTGGTTATTGTAGCTTATGTAACAGCGTTTCCCCTACTGAGGGGTGTTTGGTTGATTTAAACCTTTTAAAACTCTTTATTCTAAATTCAACACCATCACTTGAGAAGACAGTAATGTTGAAACAAAATGGCTATATTTATAGTGATGTTATAACATGTTTATGTTATAATTTTTGGAAATATATATATATATATATAATATATATATATATATATATATATATATATATATATATATATTAAATATGATTCCATCACGACACTGAAATCACTGTTTCGTAACTTGAATCAAGCCCTAAAGTTTAATTTCAATATTAAACTTAAAATTTAGAGAACAGTTTCATTCTCAAGCGATGTTTAGAATAAATAATTGAAGAAATGCTTTACTCATTTATAGGTTGAATATGGGGGTGTAATCTGTTTTTCGTTATCAAGAGGTCACTACTGTGATGAAAGTATGTATGTGTATTATATGTCAAATTTTCTTTGAAGCATGTAAAGTTTGGTTGTGGGATTTTTGTCTGACTACAATGGCCTTTTTCCCCAGGCTCTTGTTTTTATTACTATTTGTTAAAACTTATTGACTGATTATATATATATATATATATATATATATATATATATATATATATATACATATGTCTTGGCTCTTTAAATCGGTTCATTTGTATTTGAATTTCGATCATAATTCATTTTACAAAATTATGATTATTGGTATTAATTACATTCGAGTAGCCATCTTGAACAACGAAGTCACAAGCAGACGACAAGAAGTAAGAAAGAAAAGAAAGTACTGTGTAAGCGTTAAAATTTTTCAAGTTGATTTATTCAGCGACTAAATTCTGTTTCCTTTGATAAAGAAACATCAAAATATAAAGGAGAAATAAGAGTGAATTGTAACTGTGTAAATAGGTCCGGTCGAATGTAGAGTGTGGGGTGATCTCGACGAGGATAAAACAATTTAGATTACGCCCGGTAAACAGCTGCAGAAAATGGCAGCTGGCACAAGTTTGTAGATAAGCAATTCACACAGACACATACATAAAAATGTGTAGGCATGTCAGTAAGTTCACAATCTTATAACGTTTTATCAGTTTCCTTCATTCTCAGTAACCCCATTCGCCTTAGTAGCTTTATCGCCTTGCTTGGGTGAAATGATTAAAAATATATAAATTAATAAATTAAAAATGAAAAAGAATCACAAAAATAGAGTAAAAAGTCTTCCATTTAACGTGAAATAATCTTTAATCATTTTCTTTTTTATATTTATTCACTTAGAATTTGCATTTGAAAGCGATATATTTTTGCGGATATGGTTATTACTTGGCTAAATATACAGATGACTTTGTTGTTTTAGAGAAAACATCCATTGCAGGATTTGATCGAAGTACAAATGTCCGACTACAGCAAGTAGAGAACGAATTGAGAGAAACGTAAACAAACACTTTTTAAATACCATATACTTTCAGGACTTTGACAGTCATGGGTCTCTACAGTTTCTTT